AAAAAAAAAAAAAAAAAAATAATATAAAGAAGGTTTTTTTAGATCTACCCCAAAAATAAAATGATCTAAATTCTATCAAAATCATGACACAAGTGAAAGAAAGCTTTGAATGCTGTAACACTGATACAGATAAAGAGAGACATTTAGTTTTAATACTGAAACTCCCTTAACTTTGTTTTATTATCTTTTAAAAGATGTTAGAAACAAATCTGCCTTAGAAACAAACTATTTTATATATTATATGAAACATTTTTTTTTCTTCTGAGGTGCTATCATGGATAAAATACCCTGTTTATTAAAATGTTTTATTTAATGTGTATGTACGAGTCAGTTCTCCTTGCTATATATGCACTGTGGAAAACACGGTGAGCCTGGCTGCTTTAACTTGTTTTCATCCCAAAGTTTACGTGTTTTCTTCAATTACTGTCTAGTTCATGACATTGCAGGAAATTGCCATGTAGGTCCAACCAAAACTGAGCAGGAGTCCGGCTCGGTCGGGAAACTCAGCACAGTTGCAGAGGATCATGTCCGGTCTAACCTGACCTTTATAAATAAGCTCTAACTGCCAAAACATCATACAATACGATTTTCAATTAGATCTAACTTTAAATTGTGTCCAGTGTGTTTAGCCTTATGCTACGTTAACACCTAAAGCAGCAGAGGCAGTAGCAGCAATTAATTTAAATGCAAAGTTAATGGTTGACGCGCATCAAGGGGCAGCAAAACGTCCCGCATCGCGTTTTGAGCAGCAGGAGCAGCGCATCATGAGCTATTGACGATCTGCCGCGCGACACTCTTCAGAAGCAGCAGCTGCTGGAGTTGGAAAAATTTTACTTTTGCTGCTCTACGTGCCCCACCCACCAATCAGAGAAGCTGATCTGGGAGCTTTCAGGGAGACGGACACAGCACTACTGATGCAGATCACTATGATCACTCCTCTGAAACAGTTAATTAACGCCTAAATTAACTAAAAATGCCAAAAGAAATTGCTGGCAAAATATGTTCAATTCTATTATTCTGGTGTTTGCAGTTTGGATTACGTACCTTAAAAAACGCTAACATCTACTTCCAGCTGCCACCAACAGTAAGGAAAAACCCTGAGAGACTGCTGTCGAATGGGATTTCCAGTGGCAGAGCAGCGCCGGTGTACGGGGGTCTGAGCGGCTCCGGCAGCAAAAAAATACTTGAAGGCAGGATGGTAATCTGGATTAAGCGACTGCAAAGATGACGTTTTCAGGTCGACTTTCTCACTTAAACACATATTAAAACTACTTTTTACCAACTGATGGCAGAAAATATAGCTGCCACTGTTACAGGCAAAGAAAGGATAGCGTAGCTCAGCCAAACGAGCATCAGACCCCTTTTTCGTCCACGCAACCAGAGCAGCAAAGATGCCTTAGCTGGATGTCAGAGCTAAAACTGTACAAGTATAAAAAATGAAGCAGCAGGTGCATTTTTGCTGCTCCTGCTGCTTGCGGTGTTAACGTAGCATTAGGCGTTTAGGATCCCACAGAACAAGAAAAGAAGCAATCTGAAAAGAAACTGAACTGCCGATCACAGAGAGCCCAAAGGTTTGTTTAAAACTGTCAAAAAACAAGATTTTTGCAAAAAATATTCTACGGACAAAACATAAGTAGAACTTTTTATATTCTTAGCTTTTAACATGGGGTTTGGTTCTGCAGAGGAACAAGGGTGGCCATCATTAGCTCCTGTAGGCAACATGCTGCAGCTTCCATATCTACCTTAAGGATGCTTCAGTGGAAAGCTGGAGCAGTCGTTTCAGCCAGTGTAAATAATAAATAGAAGGCCCCTATCTTCTCTATTGCATCAGGAGACTTTCTTGTGATGGCATCCCTCAGTCAAACATAAACAAGCAGTTCTCTGTTTGGTTACTGTTGCCAGCTCTAGATAAAAAAGTCCAATGTGTCCAAGCTTGAATTAGAAAAATTTGGGTCTTTCCAACTTTATGATCTCACCCACATAGCTGAATCAGTTCGGCTTACAGCAAAGTTGTGCAGAAATCAGTCCAAGGTCGACGAGCCGCTCAGTGCAGCGGCAGGGGAATATTCTTTCAGAACATTTTTATTCTTTCAAGCTTATGAGCAAATGAGCTTTTGGCGGAATTATCTTCAACTTGTTTGTCTTTGTTTTTTAAGATGCTGCTGCATGAATTCTGCTTGAAGTCATCCAAGCAGTGTTGGTGTGAGTTTTTTTTTCTTTTCACATGAATTATGTAAGAGAAGACAAACATAACTCAAAGCCAAACTACCAGCACCAAAACATCCAGTCGGGTTGCCATATCATTAAAGACGAAGCCAGCATTCAAGCTACATTTAAAAAAAGGAACCTTAGGCAAAATGTCACTCGAAAAAAACACCTTGTAAATAAAATATGAGCACATGTCAATAGTGTAGACTCTTGGCTGAAACTCCTGACAGGGTTCGTCTGGGAATATGTGTGAATTTATTCATGAGTGCATGCGTTATCTGCAGCTACATTCGATCAAATGACCGTGGCTGTCTGCTGGATACATACAGTGTCATTGATTACATCTCCAGACTTGTGCACGTGGGGTAGACACAGCTCCAAGGTGTTTACTGCAAGTTCTGTTTATGCTCATATTTTTTATTCCTCTTAGTTTCTTCACTTGGGGTTTTCCATACTTATGGAGTTAATTTTGTTCCATTATTTGGTTCGAGGACAGGATACATTTCGTTATTGGAAACTCAAAAAAAAAAAAAAAAAATTATAATAATTTAACCAGAAATTAAACTTTTCTCATATTCTTCATCTCCCATTTAATCTGGACGGGGTCGTGGGGCCAGCAGTCTACCAGGCCTACCGAAAGACACAGTCCCTCTGGCATGTCCTGGGTCGTCTCCCGGTGGGACGTGCTTGGAACACCTCCCGAGATAATTGTAATTTTTCAGTATTATTGAACTGATTTTAATTTTTTTTCTAATTTAAATTTTTTAAGTTTTCATTTTTTAGTTTTAGCAGCTACTTCACAAAATGTCCATAAAAGTATGGAGTGAATTTTATTGCAGAAAAAATAAGAATTTTGTAAATTGAAATTTGAAAAAAACAAATGCAATATAGGAATAAAGCTAAAAAGGTTTCTCTGATTTTGTTGCATTTTCAAATTTTATTCTTTTAAACTACATTTTTTTCATGCCCATTTTTTTTTGTCTCTTTTTCATGTTTCATCAAATGCATCCTTTTCAGGTTGGGTTTTCCAAATTCGATTCTCTTCACTGTGGGACGGGCTTTCCTCTGGAATAGGGAAACAAGACGCATCTCTGTTTGTCTCTATGGACCTTAACAACTACATCTTTGTTGGTCATGAGCAACCGTTTGTGTGTGCTACTTGAAAAGAATGCCATTTAATTAAAAAAAATTATGCTAAAAAAAATATGAAATTAAGTTTAAATAAATAGATTATGAAAACAATCAAACATAAAATCTAAAAAAAAATAGTAAACTCTCAAAACATTTTGTGATTAAGAAGATTTTCTGGATTTTTAAATTTCTGGACTTCCTGTTCTTCTCATTTAAATTTCAAACATGTTCATTGCTTGAAACAATAATGGAACAAAACTCACTCCATACATATCAATTTAAAGGAGCTGAGAAATGTCTGCATGCAACCCTTCAGTCTGCTGCAGCTCCAGCTGTATGCATCATGGCGTTAGATTAGTTCCTACAGCGTATAATAGCTGTGTTAAAGGCAGAGAGCCCAATCACAGAGAGAGAGAGCAATATTAGTGTATAGAACAGCTCACAGCTATGGCTCTGTGCTGTAATATGAGTAAGAATCAGATTTCTGAGAGCAATTATTAGCTTTTCTCCTCTTTATTTTTTTATCGCACAGGATTAAATCAAACCCCGAACTCATCTATGTTCACCCAGTTTTTCTGTTACAGATAAAGACGTGCAGAAATCCAGCTGCAACAAAAGATTCCCACGTGTTCGTCTCTGCTTCTGCTCTGTGGAAAACAAACAAATGCAAGTGGTGCACATGTGCTGCTGCGCATGAGGGGAAAATGTCAGGAGGGTGTCAGCGGTCAATAGCCACATCTCACCCCTGCAGCTTTATCTGTTCACCTCATCTCTCTCACACACACACCGAAACATCCGCACACACTGAGTGACTTAGCTGACATAATGCTGCCATGGCAACAAGTAGCTGACAGTTTAGAGAGAGGAATGAAAGGAAAAAAATAAACCCTAAAGCCAGACTTGGATGTCACCGACTGCTGCACTCGTTTCAAACCCCGCTGCCTCGCTCGCACTCGGTCGCAGGGAGCAAAATGAAGATGATTCAGAGAGGAAATTACTTTTTCACA